AAACAGACCCAGTTATTGTGCTCAGCTGACAAAGCCTTGGTCTCCTGTTTGAGTACACTCCCATAGTCCCTTATTGTTGAGTAACAAAGTCTTAGAAGAGGGAGCTGGAAGACACCTTAGAGATGGTAGGGTGACTGCACCATTCCACAGTGACCTGTTCAACATTCCTAGCTAGTGACTGACTGTCAGACAGAGGTCTAATTCCAGGCCTCTGTTGCCAGGGGAGGACTCACTCTGTCTCCACTAAGGATCCACATAGGCAGCAGTCTGGGACACAGACAAAATGTTATGTATTTCCAAACAATCTAAAGAGCTGCAAGTGTGGGAAACGCCTGGGTTTACAGTCATTGAAGCTGATGGCAGTGCTTCCCCAGGATAGCCCTTTGTGTTAAAGAGCTGAACAGATACAGTGCTTTCCCCAGGATAGCCCTTTGTGTTAAAGAGCTGGACAGATATAGGATGGAAATGCTGCTTTCCTGAGAAAAGCTTTTTACTTCTTGGCTAATGGTATGTTTTGCACAAGAAACTCTGTCGGTCCTACACACTGGAGGAAGGCACGAGGGGTGGTCCTTTGGGCTGGTGGTCTGTTCCACTGGCAGCAGCTGGCCAGGAAACTGGATTTGACGTTTGGAAGTTTGAATATTTTCCAGCTCTTTGGGGGATTCAGAAATTTTCCTTCTGGAAATGTCCCACAATTGTCCCTTTCTAATTTGCACATTACTGTTTGTTGAGCTAACCATTGGAAAACATATACAATCATAGAAGACCTCCACAGGGCCCTCTGCACTGCTGGGGCTGTCTCAAAGCATGGGGCCCACCATATGGATCTGATGATTTTGGGGTGTTGCTGTTTTCTATATCTGGGTTTAGGACTGACCTTGTTTTATCTGTGCTTCGCGCGCCCCCCCCCCCCAGCCTTCACTTAAACAGAGTTAATGAAAAGCAGCATTTGGAAATCCTTTGAGATGCAGTTATGCTCTTGGAGACTTTCATATAGGGAACACACAGAGAAAAAAAAATGTGAGTCCATGGCGCAGGCCTGTAATCCAGCCAGGTCTGTAGAACAGTCAGTATCGGTGGTACAGAGCTTAGAAGGTACAGAGAAGGGCGAGATGGGAGAGTGCATGGCTAAGCTTTCTGAGTGGTAGCCACCATCTTGTGACCCAGTAGTAGTGACAGCAGTTTGCTGGCCTCAGAATTTTCAGAGAGCAGGACTCTCACCTTCTTGGAACATCTATCAGAGCAGGAAAGGGTTCAACCAAGTCAGCTTGGGAGAAAGGCTATTTTACTTCAGATCAAACACAGTGCATGAAGAAAAGCTGTTTGGAGCTGTAGCTCAAAAAGGCCATTATTTTTCTGAAAATATTGATTCCAACAATGAATTTGGATTAAAGTCCAGAAGAACTCTAGGAGAGCTGGATTAAGTAATATAAGATTATGCCGTGAAACAAAAAGTTTGTAGTTATTTAGTCTTCTATGGACTTCCACATATTACTTTTGCTTAGGATTCAAAAGAGAAACTGAACCTGTCAGGTCTGTGATCAGACTGTGTATCAGACTCTGAAACAAGTGTAATATTTAAGTATTTTATACATAGCACTCATTTTACTTTTCAAGTGATGAACGGAATTCAGAATTCAGTAAACACTTCACCAACTAGGGGAGTAGTCAAAGTGTTGCTCTGCTTTCGGTAGAAAAAGAATGACAGACCAGATTGATGCCTGTTTACTGAGTTTGTACCCTGGGCCAGATACAGTTTTGTAGTATGTACCTGTTGGCATGTTCTGTCTCCCTTACAGATAAGAAAACCAAGGGCTAGAGAGCTTGCATGCAACTAATTCCATGCTGCAGAGGAGGAAACTCCAGGAAACATCCATCCAACAAGCTGTCCACTAAGCGATTGCCCAAGGGAACCCCCCATCCACCTCCCCCCATCTCCACGCTCCAGCAGATCACAAATGGGGTGAATGTTGGGGTGGGCCCCAACATTCTAGTTGTGGCCCAATCCTAGTTCTGGGCTTGGGCAGTTGCAGAGTTGGTCAGCCCAGCAGCTCTTCCCTGTCTTCGCCACCAGGGTGAGCTCTCGAGCATTGCCCTAGCTAGTTCACTCCTTGCAGTGATGAGCAAGGGGCAGGATCAATTCTTCTGCTTTCAGGTGCTCAGGGTTGGTTCTTCCACACCTATACCTTCAGGGCCAGCTCTACTGTGTTGTTCAGGCAAGGTGTAGGGGCCACACTCCTGAGTGGGGACAGCTCTTCCACCTGCCTAAATAGTTAATGGGCTGTGGGGCGGGGGTAATCTCTCTCTCTTATCCATTCTGCCCCATGGCAGATGAGTAATTGGGGCAGCTCTCCCATGCTCACAACAAAGGGGTTGGGTCACCCACACCTCCGCCAACAAGGTCTGCTACATTGTGCTGTCAGGCGAGGTGCAGGGTCCACTTTCCCGAGTGTTGAGTGTTGCAGATGATAAGGGGCAGGGTTAGCTCCCTTAGCCACCATAGGTGGCGCGCTCGCGGGGGGGGGGGGCATTTTCCTTTGTCCTTACCACCACATGGCAAATGAGGGGGAGGGGGCCAGCTATCCCACTCTCACCCCCTCTGGGATGTCTTACTGGAACCTCTGCCAACAGGGTCAGCTTTACTGTACTGTCTAGGCAAGGAGCAGGGCCCACTTTCCTGAGTGCTGCAAATGGTGAAGGGGAGGGCCAGCTTGCTCATCTTTTGCGGATGGTAAGGGGCAAAGGTTGAGGGGGGCATCTCTCCCGATCCACACCATCGTACGGCAGACGAGTAGTGGGGACAGCTCTCCCATGCTCACAACATTGGGGCTGGCTCACCGACCACCACCATCGGGGTCGGCTCTAGTGTGCTGTCCAGGCCAGGTGCAAAGCCAGGTGCAGGACCTGCTCTCCTGAGAGTTGCAGCTGGCTGGGGAGGGGAGGGAGGTTTATTCTCGGTTCAGCCAGTGCGGACTTGGTCTCAAACTCTAAATTAGTGTTCATTGTTAATGACATTTTATCATGATGTAACTAGTCTTCCTTGTGAGACTGTAAAACACAGTCCTAATTGTACTCACCAGTACTCAGGTGGGCTTCCTAAGCGTTTCCTTTTGTGAAATACTTCATTCAGGTCGGGCTGTTGTGGACTCTGGGAGGGAGGCAGCTGCCAGGTGAAGAGACTAGGGAGATAATCTGAAAAAGAACTACACATTTGGGGCAGTGCAGGGGGAATCAAGGTATAGCACGTGTCAGGAGGCAAGGGGCATTTTGTGCAGGCAGCCTGGAAACATCTTAGCAGAAGGGCCAGCACTTGGCTGGGGCTCCCAGTGCACACCCAGGAAGCCAGCACAGTAGTTGGCTAAGAGCCTCTTTTTTCGAACCTGGAAGTGAAAAACAGTGCAACTTTCTCTGAAGGCACTTGGGCATATGTTCAGTTGGCCCCCAGAGAGGCACCATCCTTTTTTTTTTTCAGGACAAAGAAGATGGAAAGAGAATTTTATGAACTGGAACTTGAACGAGTGAATGGGAAATACAAGCAGATGTTGGTTGGCTGGGGTGGAGGGAAACAGTCCAGATTTCAGATTCAAGTGTAAATAGGTTAGAAATGAACATTAGATTAAACACCCTGCCAGAATATGTTGTTGCTGCTCATTCTCTTCATTACATGTACATTTCAAATTTCAGTTTCCTTTTGTTAAGTTAGTTCTCATTTCCAGTTAAACTTGCAATTGTTCTGTAAGGATCTTGTGGAATCCTTTAAGGACTAAGGCCCCAGAATGAGGTTTCCCTTGATTTGGCTGTCGATGTTTTCACTCTGGGTTATTTCTAGTCTTGTTGAAATGACTGTTTTCCCCAACGAGTCAGACAAAATTAAGAAACTTTCCAATTGATCTCTAGCTCTGATGTGTTCCTAGTGATGCTCGGATCAAGGCATGTTTACTTCAGAACTGCAAGCATGCCCACTGCTTCCACCCTGACAAATTAATTGGGAACTCTGACAATGGTAACAGGAAGATCTTCACACATAACCCTCCCTATGTGTTTAATTTTCAAGTCTTTGTTTTATTACCAGAGAACAATAGGATAGTTGATATGAAGTAGTGGATGTTCTATGCTAAATGTCTCTGCAAGCCACAAGATATTTTCAGACCTTTTGGTAGTTTGTTTCTCCTTTCCTCTCTTTTTCTCCCTCCCTCCATCCTTTTCTGTGATTGAATAGTCACTGTTTCCCACTGGGGAATCTGGGCTACTAAAAAAAAGTCATTAACAGATGACTTGCTTGTTGAACAAGTCACAGAAAATAACCTTTCATTATCTTGTGGACAAGATTTAAATGTGACATTTATATAGCTTGTAAAAGGTAAGAAAGGTTTGACAAGAAATAATGCCATCAATCACAGGAATTTTACCTTTCTGGAAGTAAGACTTATTGAACTAAAATGATAAATAAAAATATGTTCTGGTTTGAAAGAAGTGATCTAGCTGCTGAGACTTTCCTGTTTCTCTTGCTCTAAACATGTCATCAATCTCCCTGCTTAGATGCAGTGCAGCCAGGTGTTCAGAATCACAGGGGACCAAAAAGAGTTAGTTCTTAGTGAATAGGGGAAATAAAAAAGTTGGAACAGACAGGGCTTAAGTATGTAAAATATACAGCCTTACTGAACCGAATTTCCCCCCCTTTTCTTTCTCTTCTTCTCAGGAATAATTCTGCTACAGGGCTGAATTCAAGGATATGAATTGTTGACCTCATGCCAACATCAGAACCTCAGATGTCATTCTAATTTATTTGCAAGCTGGCTTTATGTGAAAATAAACTTGAACCAATTGTTTGTTGGAAATTCACTGTGACGTTCAAACCAAGAAAACTTGCTGAACTTCCCAGAGCCTTCCCCCATGGGCCCTGATGGTAGACTCCAAAAGGTGCAGCCTCAGGTGGTCCCCCTTGTTCTGTGGCAAGAATAAATTTTGGGTCACAGATTGCAATACCACCTGTGGAGAAAATGGTATACGAGGGAAAACGCTCAGCCTCTTGCCCTTGTTTCTTCCTCTTGACTGCCAAGTTCTACTGGATCCTCACAATGATGCAAAGAACTCACAGCCAGGAGTATGCCCATTCCATCCGGATGGATGGGGACATCATTTTGGGGGGTCTTTTTCCTGTTCATGCAAAGGGAGAGAGAGGGGTACCTTGCGGGGAGCTGAAGAAGGAAAAGGGGATCCACAGACTAGAGGCCATGCTTTATGCAATTGACCAGATTAACAAGGACCCTGATCTCCTGTCCAATATCACTCTGGGTGTCCGGATCCTTGACACGTGCTCCAGGGACACCTATGCTTTGGAGCAGTCACTAACCTTCGTGCAGGCATTGATAGAGAAAGATGCGTCTGACGTGAAGTGTGCTAATGGAGATCCACCCATATTTACAAAGCCCGACAAGATTTCTGGTGTCATAGGTGCTGCAGCAAGCTCCGTGTCCATCATGGTGGCTAACATTTTAAGACTTTTTAAGGTAGGTAAAGACATTGCCTTTTCAACCTGTGTGAAAGAATCAGGAATCTTTATGACTCCAAATGTGCGTTTAAAGAAGAAAGTGGAGATGAAGTTACCAATAGACACTGTCTGTGTCACTGGGTTCCTCAATGGGGGCATTCTGGGCTAGGTTTCTACCCATATCACTTCAGTTCCTTTCGTTATGATTAAATGGATTAATACTGACTATGTTTTCCCAAAGAGAATGTTGGTAAGTTCTATGAAGGGTTTTGGTTCTTGCCATCTGGGGCTAACCTCCCCAGGAGGCTCACTTTAAGTCAAAGCAAGCATCTTTAGAGAATCATAAGCCCTTAACACATTTATCATACAGAACACTTCCTCTCTACTTGAAGTACATGTAAGACAATTTACTTGGTATAATTTCTTCTAGGTGGGATGCTCTGTTATGACAAAAATTCCTGTGTGAAGAAACAGTATTTATTACTAATGTGTAGATGGTAGTGACATTCTAGGAGATGAGATGGCCATAAAGTTGTCAGGCTTATTATAACTCGAATAGAGCAGAACCTCATTAATTCAGAATACTGTGATGTAGACTGGAAATAATTACATATAATTCTTATTGAGTTAATAGTTCAAATTTGGTAGGAAGCAATCAAGACATTTTGATTTTGGTTTGATGATCTATTATCTGTACACTTTCTTTATAATATTGACTAAAATTGCCAATGTAAAATAATAAATGTGAAAACACTTTGAAAGTACAAAGTACCATAAAAATAAAGTTATTGTAACTCACCATTTTATTAACTTTCTCATCTTATTTATTAATATCCATTATGTAGTCTTTTGAAATAGACATGATTTTAAATTGAAAATACTTTTCACTCTGATTTCTTACTCATTGGGATTTGACTTTTCCAACTGAACCTGAATTAATGAGGCTTTATTTTATATATAAAAAACTATTCCTATGCATATCAGATTTAAAGTTGGACTGATGACAGAGTGACAAAAATGAACAAAGCAATGGAAAATTTCACAAAAACGGATGAAAGGGATTGCATCAAAGGCTTTCTCTTTGGGCAGATATCTTGGGGGCCAGTCTAGTTTGGTCTGTGTTTCATATTGGAATCCTCTCTGTAACATTTCCCAAGAGGCTGCACAGCCTCTGTGTGAATCTCCTTCATTCAAAATGAGAATGCTAAGAGGTAGTTTAATGGCTGTTTTCAGATTGATGACATTGCCTCAAAGGAGGAGGCTGCTCCCTGTGTCTAAGGCATTCTGAAGGGGAACAAAATGGCCTTAGGGACCACGGGAGGCACTTTAGCAAGGCATTAGAAGAATTGCCTGGCAATGAAAGGCCTTGAAATGAGAACTGGCAGCCAGAGGTCTCTCATTCTCTATCCCTGGGAGCCTTGGAGAGAAGCCAGGCAGTTGTAAACAGGGACCCTAGGGATGACTACCTCCTTCTCTAGAGTCAAGACAGAGCAAGGATTCCCACCTACAGGATCTAGGGTTCTTCTCAGGACTTCTGATCTGTGCCTCATGGTGTCTCCTGCTCTTGGCTAAGGTCCAGATCAGCTATTTCCGCTGCCCTTTTCCTCTCTCCCATTCAACCTTTCCCTCCTCTCTAGTTCTTGACATTAGAGATAAGGGAAACCTTTATGATGATTTTCTCCTCTCTGGGATCTTTCTTGTATATATTAATTACTGCTCTTGTCACCCCATAGTTATTTTTATATGTTGCTTTTTCTGTCTTCTGGTTACCATCCCAGGACACACAAGAATTTGAAGAGCGAGTGAAAGAGATAAGGCACTAACCTGAGATACTCAGAGCTTATTTATGCTATTTTTTTGGTCATAGAATGAATTTATCTATAAGACAATGATAATATTTCTATATTAGATTGTTGGGTTTCGTTAGTGAGAAAATGACATGTATTGCCAGTACCTGGTTTTGCCCTTTGTTTCCTAGGCTGCTGAAGGAAATTTCAAGCCATCTGAAGACATGAGGGGAGCTTTTGTTTTCTAAAGCTGGGCCTGGCTTGTCTCTGCTTGGTTCTTCCCCCATTAGACAACTCTTTTGCTATTTTTGGGTACTTGTAGAGGGATTCTATCTGATGGAGTGAATTATTCTTGGTCCTTTGAACACAGTCAATGCTCCAGGACAACTCCAGAGAGACACTAGTCTGTATGCCTAGGGGCCTCTGGCTACCCCTTGATGGAACATGTAGGGAGGAGCTCACTTTTAGCCAGAAGAGGGCAGTGACTGTGATAGATGACATTACCACCATCAGCATGCTGGCGTAGAGAAACATTTAACTTATGTCTTAACCCATGTTACTAGATTTGAGAAACTGATCTCATTCAAAAGTCAATCAGAAAAGTGTATCTCCTCCCATCTTTTAGCTGAACCTGAAGCACAAGAATGGCAATCAAATAATTTCACCTTATCATGGTGTTGCCTCCATTTACTTGCATGATGTATGCGAGACCTTCAGCTTACACTTCACCGTGATTGTAATTAGGAGATGATGGTGGCTGTCCATGGGAAAGAAAATGGCCCTCTTTAATGTGCATGACTTCTGTTTATACATATGCCAATAGTTATCAAAGGAATGCTTAACAAAGTATTATGTTAGAGGTTGAAATACAGTTCCATTTTCCTAAGGCAATGCTATGATGAGGTGAGTGATGGATGAAAGTAAGTTTTAGGCATGTACCTTAGGATTGTCCATAGTCCCTGTAGGACAGCACATGACCCATAGAATCCAAAAGGAAATCCATGCATCGAGCTTATCTCCTCTTGGTTCTTGAGGGAGGCAGTGCTGTTCTATCTCTGTTACTCTTATCAAAAACTCTGAGGCAAATGAGAAAAATCAGCCCAGCCCCTTCACTTAGAGGAGAGCTAGACATGGAGTTGGAGCAGGGAGTTCCTGAAAATAGGAAATGCCTGCCCATCACTGAAGCTCCCCCAGAGGAGTGGTCCTCAGTCTGAGGGCATATATGTACAGCTTAGGCCACTTTCCTCCTTGCCTCCAAGGAAGCCTTTCCCACTGCAGGGCCTGAGAATGAATATAATTTCTTGCTGTCCTCTGGGGACTGTTTTCACCAAGAGGAGAGGACTTGACTCAACATCCCTCAGAAATGTTGGAGTGGAGCTGGGCTTAAAAGCGACAGAATCAGATTTTAATGCTTTGAACTTTATAGAAGCATTACTATGCACACACACACACACACACACACACACACACACACACACACTGATATCAGGCACAGTGGTTGTCTAGGTGATCTCTAAAGCAAGTTAATAGCTTCAGATAACACTACTATCAATTGGGATAATGTGTAATTGTGAAGTAGCAGAGTTCCTTTGATTTCAAAGGTAAAAATGAAGTGTCTGAGATTCTGAACCTTAGAAAACCCAGTGAAGACAGGGGCTTAAAAGGAGTTCCAAAATCAAGTGTGTTTTGGAAACTTTGATATGCCCAGAGATGAAATTTGTTTATAAAAAGCTCAAACAGTTTCCCTTCTCTAGAATGTTCCCCATCTTCTTTGAATGGGAAAAAATAAATTTCTCAAAAACACTAAACATATGTCTTACTTCCAGTGAAGATTGAGTTTTCTAGGTTAAAGTTGACACATTGACATGGGAGTAACTCACATTAATGTCCACAAAGACACATGGGTTATAAGAAGACAGTGTCAGGCACAATTTCTCTCTTTCCTGTTTGGCTAGTTAACTTTACCTGGATTGTTAATTTTCCATTCTTGAAGAATAGGCTTTAGACAGCCTGTAGTGTGTCCTCCCAAGGCAATCAAATGAAATGTCAGTAGAAATCATTTATGTGGGAGCTAGATAATTTCTCTCCATGTGGATTTGCGCTTTTTAATCATTTAGTTATAAATGACTAACAACGATCTTTATGTTAAGTCAATGAAATTCAGAGAATTCTCTCATTCTTCTGCAAGTTTTGTCTACTTCACAGTGTTTATGAAGACATATTTTTCTCCAGAAGACTCAGTTGTACCAACTGCTAAAGCCATGTGTCTTGTGAGTTATTTATTGCCACAATGGGCTTTATTAACTGCAAACAATGAAAGGCAAATCTGCCATGTTTGGGCTCATCTAGTTAGGATGCATGCTTAAGTGAGCACACTGAATGAACTCTGCAGGAGGTAACATTTCATGTAAATCCTGTTTGATAACCAATCAACAATGGGAAGTGGCACGTGAGACTCCTTCATACAGTCCTTTAGTTTTAAGCATCTTTGCTTGTAAAAAGAGCACCCCCTCTTCTGACAGGTGGGCACTCTCTTACAATAGTACCAGCAACGGTGTCAGATGATAAAGAACACTTCAGATGTGTAGCGGGAGACATCCTTATCACTGCTACATTGCTTGTTAATGTCCCCCCTCAAAACCCTCTGAGAGCTATCATTCCCTGCACCCTAGGACAAAGGGCTACCTCTGCTAAGCAAAGTCATCCTGCTTTGCTTGGTGAGGTTAACAGAGAGGCAGCCATTATGTCTTCTTCTTGGCATCCATCCTACACTATTGGACTTGTTTGCCTGTCTGTGTCCTCCATTAGACAAGCACCAAGTGGGCAGGTTCCATTCCTTTGTTATTGGTTATTTCATTTCTAGCCCCTAGTCTCACCCTGTCTAGGAACCTAATAAACATATGAATGAATGTATGGTTGAATCAACCCATATCTTCTACTCACTTACTTATTTCGATACCAAATACTGGAGATAATATTTAGTTAGATAGGAAAATAAAATCAAAATTTCCTTTCTGTGTACACTTTCAGGAAAGGAAACAGAAGGAGGAGGCAGTGGAGGAAGAAAGAAAGCAGTGTATTTTGGGTGCTCCCATTTTCACGTGCGCCCTCACACTTCTGTGCATTTGTGTCTTCTGTAGGTAGACCCTTAAAATTGAAAATTAAACAAGCACTCTACATGAGTGCATTCTCATTTTGGAAGATTTAAGCAACAAATAATAGTCTGAAATGG